CGAACGAACGAACGAACGAACGAACGAACGAACGAACGAACGAACGAACGAACGAACGAACGAACGAACGAACGAACGAAAGAGGGGGAGAAAGAGAAAATAATATAGTCGCGAACCATTTTCAATTGTACAGTTTAGGAAACAAATTCTTTTTTTTTTTTTACCACAATATTTTCAATATCTTCTGGCATTCCCTTTCCACTTTCTCGACTGGCATTTTCATCTACCTTCCGTGCCTCACTGTTTGTTTTTCTCTCAGTCATATCAACACTATTTCAATAGAAGACGGTCTCTTTTATATCTGGTTGCCCTGAGAGACGGGAAAGAAATGTAGAATAATCCTTCACTTTGACTAGGGTTTCTCCACCTTGATGTTGATTGGACGATAAATCACGTGAAAGCGCAAGGCATGAACTTCGATATGGCTTCTCTTGCTTCTCTCGCCCAATTTCAACACCGTTCATGAACCATATCTTTTTAAAGAATGATTATATTCTATTCGCTTTAACAATAACTAGGTTTAATTTACTTTTAATTGATATTATTGCTTTTCATGTTTGGTAAATATTCTGCGTTGTTGTTTGCGAATTTCTGACGGATAAATTATATTTTTAATTCTGAACATTGTTTTTGTGAGTTATTAGATAAATACTTTGATTATTGAAAACAAATTACTAGCAATTATGAAATATTCACTGAGTTGCGATGGTATAAAAGAATCCTTGTCAGGTCTTTGGAATTGAAGCATCATACTTCTGACACCATTATGTTTGTCATTCTTGCTTTGGCTGGTCTCGTTTGTGCCACTTCGGCCTATAACGAAATTGGTAAGTTTCATCGAATTCCGTTTTTACGGATCCAGTGGAATTGATGTTTATTCCTTTTTTGTTTTTACAGTTTATGAACATGTGTTTCTGTTTTCTTGTTTCTTATTTCCTCTTTGCTTCTTGCATTCGTTTCATCCTTCTTTTCTTCCTAGCCTTCCTTACGAAAGGTTATAATGGCGTGGTGGTAAAACAATCGGCTTTCACCTCTGAAGTCCGGGATTGGAATCCCAGGCACCCTATGTGAGCTGAGTTGGTTAGTTCTCTTTCTGAAGGGTTTTTCCGGTCCTCCGGTTTTTCCTCCCTCCTCTCAAATCAACCCTAACTAATTCAATCTAGTTAGATCTGTGCTCCTGCCAGATTACCAGATACTGTATAGCGGCTACCAGAGGCGCCTGCACTACATGCTTTCAGTTCGACCCCGTTGAGTTTTTGTTTTTCCTTCCATCTTTCCTTCCTTCCTTTCTTCTTCCCATATTTATCTATATTTACCCGTCCTTCTATTCTTCCTTCCTACCTTCTTTCCTCCATTTTATCCTTCCTTCTATCATTGCTTAAAATTCCTTCACTCCTTTCCCCTCGTTTTCTGTGCTATAATTTATGCTCATTCTTATGTCGAATAACACCAATATCTTGGTTTAAAAAAAAAAGTATTTTCTTCACCTTATTTCTGGTCATTCTTTCCACAGCTAATGGAGTACCCACTCAGTCAGGGATAACAGAATGGAAACAACTCAACGTACACGAAGTGTGCTTCGAAGCAAGACACGATCGTTACGGTTCCCTCTTTAACTACATCCACGCTGGCCTGGTTGGTGCTATCAAGCTGGAGTACATCTCAGGACATGTGCGATGTGTGTCTAACATTGCCTATAACAGTCGATGGGGCTGTGGTCACTACAGCTCATTCGTAAAATCTCCTCTGAATGTCGTCATAACAGATAGAAACAACCACGTCATTTTCCCCAAGAAAGATTATATCACGTAAGCATATAGGGGGACTGGGAACAGGAAACAAAGCCTGGTAAAGGGCGAGGATGCTTGTCGAAACTTGAAACTGCCCACCTAGACAAGACGTCGCTACCTTTTAGGGGCCAATTTCAACAATATCAAAGGAACATCTATCCCCGCCCATCGTTGTATATATGGGAGCCCCCGGGTTCTTACTTCATATTCTCTTGCCCGGGTATAATTGCCCTATTTCACTATGACGTCACTGCTTGTTTATGTGGGGGATAGAATCGCCAAATCCAATAGAAAATTCAACAAAATTTGCTCCTAGCGAAACAGTTTAATCTAAAATGGCCTGGTTTTCAGATATAATGTGTTAATATGTACTAAAAATTATTCTGAGCATTTGCTGGCTATTCTACTTCTCTTCGTGGATTGATACGGGTTTTAGAACAATTTTCGTTGAATTTGCGTTGATTTGACCCCCTCCGACGGCCATGATCCTTTGCGTTTAAACAATAGATTGTTTTGATGTGACGTCATAGTGAAATAGGGCTATTGCAATATCTAATCACAGTTCTTTGAATGCCACTTTGCTTTACTTAGATTGCTTTCTTCGTTTAAGGGCTCAGATTGATAACCATTACATCTAGTATCTGAAGGAGCTATCCTGGATAAATAAAAGTGTTATGATCTTTTCTACTTAAGTGATCTTATTTTGAAATTATAACTTACTTAAATGATTTGAATATAACTTACATTGCCTTTCTTTTAATTTTAGTAATGCTGGTCTCTGGTACTGGCATCCATTTGTAAGCGACTCCAACACCAAAGATCTCGTCTTCTCTGACTTTGCCCAACCATTCTACCTTCCTCAATACGAACAGATCAGAATTTGGTACGGTGAAGACCTCAAGAATTGGTCTGAACACGATAATCAGGGAAGAGTGTGCGTCAATGTTTACGCAAAATTCATCAAATAAACGCTGGTTGGACTTTGTAATCATGGTGTAGATCATAACCCTAATTTTTTGGTTAATTGTAATCGTCGTGGCGATAGAATTGTGATTCAAATAAACCAAGCGTTTTACACAAGATTGAATGGTTGATTTTTAAAGTTTTGAAAAACTTCGGCCACGGTTCTTCGGTTTTTAATACAATATTATATTTAAAATGAACAACATTTCAAGTCATTTTCGTTGTGCGTTTGTTAAGCTGAAACTTTGATTTTCACAAACAAATAGTAATTAATTGTGCACGTATCAGTGTTGTTTTCTTGAACTTGGCGCAATTTGTTTAATTTATGAAAGTCAGGACAAGGAAATGCTCTCCATTTCTTTCTCTCGCTCTCCCTCTGTCTACACCTCTCTCTCTCACCCTTCTCTCTCCCCCTCTGTATTTCCCTCTCGCTCTCCCTCCCCCACTCTCCCTCTCACCCTTCTCTCTCTCTCTCTCTCTGCCTTTCCTCTTGCATGTCCTTTGCTAACCTTCAACATTAGCCATTAAATAGTTTCCACACGAGTCAAACAACTGACACCAATCTGGTAGATGGTTTTGGTAACTATTTTATTACTAAGATTAAAAATCATTACATAGACAAGAGTAAGGATCTTCCACGGACTCTCACAGTGTGTGCAACCTTGTGACTCAAAATTCCTTGAGATATGAATAACAATGAAACAACTGCCACGGTTGATCTAACAAACGAAGCTAATGAGGAAAGCTTTGTTATTGTCAACCAAGATGGTGGTTATGAAATACATACACATGCTCTATGCTCGATCGGAAGCGTTGAATTATACTTCTGAAATCAGATCTTTTGGCTCCTCTCACGTCCAGTTTGAAAACGAGGCCTGCACTCCCAACTCGTTCCCAGGGTCTTTTCCAATTTTTTGAAAGAAAAAGATCCTGGGAACGAGATTTAAACTTTTTTTCTTTCTATAGAGTTGATAGACGTATCGATAGTTAAAGATTGGATAAACAAGAGGTTTAAAGAAACCGAGCAAAAACATTGACACATACTCTGCCCTGGTTGTCGGTCTCGGACCAGTTTTTGAGGTCCTCACCGTACCAGATTCTTAGCTGCTGATGTCCCTGGATATAAAATGGCTGACTGAAGTCCGTGAATACCAGCTCATTGCTGTGTTTATCGTCCACCATAGGCAAGTAGTACCATAAGCCAGCCGTGTGTTTGATGTACTGGGGTTGAGGGTAGAGGATGTTGTTGTGATTGTCGGTGATGATGACATTCAAGGGATATTTCATGAAGGTTGAGTAGTGGTAACAACCCCATCGACTGTCATACGCCGGGTTTGCAACGCACCTAGAAAATATGTTCAAATTAATCACAATAATCGCAATGATTATCTAACAATATTCCAACTGCGAATACTACTCGGTCATGAGAATTCTGAATATTCATAAAGTCACTCCTAAACATTATTCCAGCTTGTTAAGTTGATAATGATGTCAAAGACATCGAAACGTCAGGGTTTTTTTCATCGCTAGTTTTTACTGTTAAACGTCTACAGAGCCCACGTGCAAAATCCTTTGAGGGGGTTATATTTTCGTGTGCGAAACTTTAATGGCAAAGGAATATAAACAAAGGGGGAGACAACAATTTTGCTGCTTTCAGGAAAGGGGAAGGGCTCTTAAAAATATGTAGATCAAAATCGTAATACATTTTTTGTGTGTTATGACCAAAAGTTCGAACTTCTTTCATAGTGTTTTCTAAATTCCCAGCAAAGATGAATATATATATAAATATATATGTCCATAAAAGAATCATATAGACCATCATTTTAAAGTAATACAAAGAAATTGAAGGCTAAAATAGTTTTTTAAAAAATCGCTAATGATTGTTTTATTTCTCTTATCGTTTATTCGAATCATGCAAATGTTTGTCGAACCACGCTATAGAATATAACRTTGACCCTCATGATTGTCCAARCGCGTTATAGATTGTCAATGATTATGCTAATAGCACTAATGAATTTTCACTTTTGGGTAAATGGTTGTCCATAAATGCAATTGTTTGTCATTTGGTGTCAGTTGAAGTTGAATTTCGCGCACAAGAAAATACATTCCGCGCATATGAATGTACGAACGCGCTATTGATCGTCCATTGATGCCTATGAATGTACACGCATATTCAATTGTCGTTATTGAAAGATGATCCGCGCTAATGATGTTACTTGTGGTGTTGATGAAAGTACATTACACGTTATTGATACAACTATTGGCACACTTGAATGTACATTTTCTGTTAATGAACAGCAAAAGGTGTAGTAATCGACTCATGCAAGTCGAGTTTAAACCCAAACTGAACGCATGTTTCTGTTCTCACCTTATAGATCCCGTGCGGTAGACTAGCTTGATAGCACCAATCAGCCCTTTTTTTCCAACATGGATTAGATGTCCGAATCGGTTACCTTGACCTTCGAAGCACACTGGATGGAAATGGTTGAGCTGGGTCCATCGTCCATTGCGCGCTTCAGCTGGTTCGGTCTTCAGCGCGATGGCTGTTTAAAAAATGAAAAGCAATTAAAGCTGGAGCTTGTTCAATGCAGGCATCCAATGATAATCAAGCTGATGTATCACGTGATCAGGTAATGGTAATAATACCAAGCATAAAGCGAGATCAATACGTAGAATCAAAGAGATTGCTTCAACCAATCACAGCGTGATATTACTTTTCGTCCAATCATGAAGCTGGATGATGACGTGATCAGGTGATGCTAAAAGTAGCATGCACAAGACACATCCAAGACAGAATTCATGAGAACGTTTCAACCAATCACAGCGTGATATTACTTTTCACCCATCAAAGTCAAGCTGACTGATCGCGTTTATATCACTTCCCACCATGTCGGATCTCAAATAAATGCTACATCTGTAAGTAATATATACAGTATTAGTGTCCGTGTTGTATATCGGATACAACACGGACTCGAATACTGTAGTTTGCTTGTCAAACGTCTAGGTTAGTTCCTTTGTGTTTCGCTAAAATTTTCAAAATTAAAGTGAATCTGGCCAAGAAAATCC